TAATTTTGTACAGATCATTTCATGGTCGCACGTCCATTTTATGATAAGTAAGTTCTAATTTATTTGATTGCATTCAATCATCCGAACCTTCTTTTAGCGTTTGATTTGAATTATTGCACAAAAGGAAACATATCTAGATTTCGAAATTTACCAGCTTTCCGTGTAAAATTATACGAAAATCCTTCATGGAATTATTCACCCGAATGATAACATATCTTTAAAAAAAATTATACGCAAAAGGATGTAAAAATGGATTCTAGAGGGCGATGTCAATGCAAAAATAGACATATGTGCTCGCAAATATGGCAAAACACTTTGTGTTGTACAGGAATTAGTTATGTTATGCCTTCGATGTTGTCTCATTTGAATCTCTCTTCTTAATTCTCAAAATACGATTATACATAGGTTCACAAAAGACGGTTCGAACAATCCGTTATAATTTCACGGAATAAAGAGCAGAGCTATTTAGCTTCCAGCAATAAAATGGATAAAATTTCCTGGCCCTCACATACTCATTAATTGCACCGAATGAATTCAAGCAAACTGAAAAGGTGTCGAGAGCTGTCCAACTACACTGACGTGAATTTTTTCGGGAAAATCCGCGTTTTTCAGTGCAATGGTCGTACGCGTGCGTGCCACTGAAAGTTATAGACTAAAAATAAGAAATATCCAACAATGACGGCACAAATAAAATTTCCCTTTATTTCCAACGTATGATGAAAAATTAGCTGGAATAAAAAATAAAAAATCCACAGGATTGAAATACAATATTTTTCATTTTTCCTGCACAATAGAGAAGCAATCTCGAGGGTTCATTAAATGTGGGCATATAAATGGATATTTTATCATGTCCTATAGTATAGGACATAATAAATGTCTATATAGTCTCCTGGATATTTATATACGAAGACTAACGGCGAATTCGACATAAAAAATTGCATGTGAAGCAAATTTGGCTCCCCGTCTCAAAATCACTTGATTACTACGAAAGAAGTCATAAACTTTGTGATAAGAAGGTTTCTTTACAATTTCACAGATGCTTTCTTGTAGATTCGAAAAAGGAAATGCGTTGTTCGGTTTCTCAATGTGACCATTCTGTCAGAATGTGTTGATTACAGATACATTTTTGGCGGGGGGGGGGGGGGGGGGGGGGGGGGGGGGGGGGTTTTTTTTNGGGGGGGGGGGGGGGGGGGGGGGGGGGGGGACTGATGAGGGCATTTCATTTTTGCATCCTGGTTTCGAAGACATTTTAAATTGGCTTCCAAAAGAATCCTTAAATCCAAGAGATAATAATCTGATGAATAACATTGATTGGGCATGTCATCGAGCTAGATTCAATTATTTGTGCTTCGCATGAACCTAATGTGCTGTACGTGTAACCTTGAAGATACGTTGCCAAAAAAACTAATCATCTTAAATTGTAGGAGTCATGAGATTTGGTCCAATTCCAAATCTTTTGGAATTTAAGGCAGTAAAACGATCCAGAATTTGTAGATACCCTGTTGACTCCACGTGACTGAACCGAGACCGTCTCTCTGGTTATGATCTCTTGTTGTTCCACTATTTATGCCTTGAGGTCATCACCGAGTCGAACTTGCCTTCAGGGCATGTCTTCCCATCGTAAATACAAGCATGCAGACGTGGTTGACTCTATTTTCGAGAATTAATCTCATCGAAACTACAGTAAAAATGAGTTTTATGGCGGAGGAAATGCTACTGAAGGGAATATACTGGGATCTTGTCTGTTTTTGCCTGAGAAATTTCTCCGCCTGGGAATTTTGTTCCTGGAATATCGTTGTCAAGACCTTAGCATATAAATGGTACACTTTTCTCGATCACGTTTCCGAGAAAAAGAAATTTGTCGTGTGCACGCCAACCTGCAAAGATGTTCCTCTTTCTGCTCCCGCAAAATCTGCGAATCATCCATTCTCGTAAAATTATGTTCTAATAGAAAAAGAGGTCAATTTGGCATCTCAAGAATTAAATTTTCGGAACACGCTCGAGTTCAAAAATCCGCGTTGGTTCATGCCTGAGAAAAAAAAAGCAGAAATGAGCTGTCATGAGAAATTGTTCGCTTGAAAGCTTCAGTTGAGAGACTTCGGTCTTCGAGTTCATTTTATTCACACACACCCTGTTCTTCGTCTCGTTCGTTCGTTCATCGGCCGGAATTCCTTTTCATAATGAGTATTTCCGTCCCACGTGAAGCACTGATTGTTTTCTACATAACTGCTGCGGATATATATACGACCGTAATATACACTCATTGACAGGAAAGAAAACGTCACGGATTGTTGTTCGCTTCCTCGCGAGTCATTTGCTTCGTCCGTTTGGACCGTCAACGCGGTCAGGCTGCTGCTGAAGAAAGATTTGGGCGGACGCGGTTCGTTCACTCTTCTAAAAAATAAGGATGGATATTATGCAGGTTTGTATATTCTTTTTTAGTCGAGCTTCGAGGAACCAGAAAAACAATCGAGTTACGGATGCTTCGACGAGTTGAGGAAACATGCATTTTTTAAAAAGGAAAAAAAGAATTACAAGAGATTGTAATTTTTGATATTCTAGAACTTGAATTGGCTTTTTAAGTGAGTTATTCACAAGGTTGCTGAATCCGGAGGAAAGGGTTTCTTTGCCCGATTATAGTCTTTCATTTCCTTTAAAAACACGCTACATTTTTATTGATTTTCTTTTTCATAAGTCAATTATTGAATGCCAAGTGTTCGAATGATAGGATTCCAAAATATTCTAATTTTGTAGTTTTGATGGGGAAAGCCTTCGAGCTATTTGGGGATTTTAAATTCATTTCTTCTATAAGGGAATTCAGACATGGATTCGAAAAAAAAAATTCGACATCCGGAGGTTGGAATTATCGAGGTTCAGCAATATTTTCTTGCTGTTTATTTGCTTAAATCATGTCCTCATTTGCTTAAATGCTTATCAACGCGTCATAGTAAGCCTATTAAATCACGCATAGTAAGCCTATTAACTTGACATTTGCAAATAAGAATTGCGGACGACTTGACGTTAGCAACCATGAAACTCATCATGCAATTATTGCGCATACTTCTATGACTTCATGTAAAATTCATTCCAAATTTAATTTTTGTCTCTTCAAGATAGAAAAAAATCCAATTTGTCTGCGGATCGATCTCCAATAGATTACGCAGCTACTGTAAAAATCCATTTGATCACAGATTGGAGCTGAAAAAACTGCGCCAATTCATGATCTCTTAAGGACTTTGCACCTGACAAATGGCAGAATTGAAGTGTCAAAAAGACATCGATGAGTAGCCGATACAATACATTTGGGCGTGATTTCATTTACCTCCTCAATTTCAAGAGTGAGGAAAATGTAAACCAACTCGAAACGAGATTAATCAAGTACAGTGGCCATAATCATAAAAATGGTGCAACGACGTTTAAATTACTAGGAATGGCTTTTAAAATACAAACAGGCGCGTGGATTGAACGATTCGAAAGATGAATAACTGAACGAATGTGACAGATAAGCAGATGAACGGGATTTATGAAAATCCAAGCAAAAACACCTAGGTACAATTTCTGACCCTAATTCAGCCTTTTTAATTTAAATGTAACGTACCCTAAGTAAATGTTTATCGGGATAAGTTTATGCGAGGTGTAAAAGCTTTCTACTCATGGCAATCGTGAATTGCCCCTTTATTGTGTTTTTCAATTCAAAGTCAGAATTCAAATGTCAGTTGTAAATTGTAATAAACTTTCCTTCAATGTCGGGATTGGCAATGGATCATGCCCTTGATTTTCACGCGGATAATAATACGACCCAGGTGTTACTGCATTGACGGAAATGCGACACTTCATGCAAGTCAATTTTCCACCATCATTTAACTCATCTTATTTATGAATTTCCTTTGAATTTTCCGACTGAAACCCTGCTGATGAACGAACCGTGACAGGAGCTATATAGTGCCCGGTAGCTTATTTAATTACATGTAAAGAAGTAATTGAATAGACGGAAGCAAATCATTACTCTCCCTTCCGTTATAATAGCAGTTGATCATGACCTTGGATAAATTCTTGGACGCCATTGAATTACAGTATATAGTTCAAAATTACTGCATTGGGGAATAATCCATATATTTTGAAGTCACGAAACTCACGATTGCATTTCTTGTTTTTCACTTTTTCAGGCATAAATTTAGCATCAACCGAATTCTTCTGGCGACAACTAGGGATATACAGTATTCCTGTAAATATCTTATATAAGTGTATCTTATGTAAGTGTGTGCTGAGCGGCATTCTTTAATTTGCTGTTTTTCAGCATCGATTGTAAAATGAACTTATATCCGTTTTCTTCAGAGAACTGACATTCAAAATGAATCCCTTATTTTAATATCTTACGTAAAACCAACGAACAGGATTACTTCAGTTTAAAAATTATTTTCGAAAAGGTCACCCGCTTTCCCGAGAGTATAGTTACATCGCTTATCAAAATGAAATTTAGGGCTCCATTGAAGTTCATTTCTTTTGTCTGAACCGTTTCTCATTACTACCATTGTACGAATCAGTGAGCAACATCGAAAAATCAAAATTTTCAAGTACTCATTCGAATTTTTTCCTAATTTGAAGAGGATAATATTCTAGGTTCAGTCACGATTGAAGCCACTCTAAAATTACTTGCGAAGAAACAGAATATTTCAAATCATTTACATAGGCGAATTCTCTCTCTCTCTCTCTATTGTGAAAAATTCAAGGAACAAGAAAAATCGCTGTAGGGAGAATTCCATTGTAGAGAACCCTTCGACATGGTTAGAGCACCCTATTTAATATATGACCTATGCATTGCCATGAAACCAAATAAATACTACTTCGTTATATAGAGAAAAATCGTCATGAAAAAAATCGTTGTGGAGAGATTATACTTGCATCTTTAAAATTACTCGGTGTTCCGATTCCATGCGAAATTCTCAGATCGATGTACAAAATATCAACTAAAATAACAGGATACCGAGGAGTTAACCCCGTATTTTTCAGGGAAGTTTCTTTGTTTCAACAACCAGCCGTTTTGTTCAACAATCAATCACTAAATGAAATCCAAAGTCTCACAGACAATTTCTTCGCATTTCCGCATAATATTACAAATAAATTATTTGAGAAAGAGATTGATTTCCAACTTGGAAGTCTTCTCCTTCCAAAGCTTCTCATCGGCAGTGTTGGTCCAGCCATATTCAACGCTCACTATGTTCATCATCCTCCGCTTGGTGTCGCTCTTCCAACATTTCTCCAGTGTCCATGGTTTCATGCATCATCGCTCGACTAATCAATTTCAATAATAAGGCTGGGGGTAAACGGGGTAAAAGGTCTGTCCGGAATGAACTGGCACGTAACCCCCGTGGTAGGCAGGGTAAGGTGCGTGTACAGGTGCAGGTGCGTGGTACTGCGAGTAGTAGTCCGACCTGCGATGACCCTTGGCCTTGCCGTACTTTTTGTAGTGCTTCTTCTTGTAGCGCTTGGAAGAGTGGCCACCGTAGTGTTCATCGGAGCCGGAATCGCTGTGGCGCTTTCCGTAGGGCCCGTCGTGGTGACTTACGTGGTACCCATCGTAGTGCTCGTTAGAGTCAGATGAGTCAGCCATGGCACAAGCCACGAAGGCTGCCAAAATCACGAACAGCTGCAAATTTGAAAACAAAAAAATACAAATCGAAGAAAGATGCTAGGAAAAAATGTCATCAAGGAAAGCGGAAATGGAGCATGAACCGAACATTTTTTTAAATATTTCTGTTCATATCCAGAAAACTCCAAAATAAAATTCTCGTCTGAAAAGTAAAACCATGCTTTCTATGGGATAGTTTAAAATAATTTGAAGGCGCAAAGGATTCTGAAAAATGATGAACTTCCTGTCGTACCTAGAATTACCCTCTATAGTGCAGTACTGTATAACCAAAACTGTTTATCTTTCAAAACGAAATTTCTCAAAAATAACCCTAAAATATATATATTTAAGACAACGATGCTACGAATGATTTCGATCAAGAAAGGAAAAATGGGTCCAAACACGAAATTTTCTCGCCTTCCGAATTCTTTGTCAATATTCTGACGAACGACTCAAAAATGAAATGCTCGTGGAAAAAGTAAAACAATGCTCTCTCTAGATAGCTGAAAATAATTTGAAGGCGCAAATAATTCTGCAGAATGAACAAACTTCATGTCGTCCTCCAAATTTCCCTCTTTTGTCTAACCAAAACTGATTATTTTCCGAAAGAATTTCTCAGAAAATTTATTATGATTTGAAGGGACAGCACATAATTAGGAAAATACTGTAAATGAACTTCCTATGTCGTATTCAGAATTCCCCTCTTTCGCTCAAGCAAAACTGATTATTTGTCGATATGAATTCTGAGATAAAAATAATTTGAGGGCACAGAGACTTAGGAAATCAAATGACTTCCTATCATATTCAGAATATCGCTCTCTTCAAAACCAATAATATTGTTTAGCAAATTTTTGGAAAACCCATTCAAATATTACCCTAGTTTGTTAAGATCATAACTTATATTTCTAACTAACTACGGTAGTTACCCTAGTTAGTTTGAAACTTTTATATATTAAGTTTCAAATTCATCCACCTGCCAGCTTTATTGAACAATTATTTTATTTGAAGAACCTCTAAGGTATTCTTGATGGTTATTCAAATGCAGCAAAAATCACAGAGCTGTGGGGTATATCTAAAATAAAATTGCTTGAAACTTCGCTTAAAATATTGTCTCAGTCCTGGTGTCACATAATCCAGAAGACATCATCGCTAACATTCGAATCATTTTCCGGCGCTGGCAGCCTATTTCAAAAATATTTTCAAGATGCATTATTACCCCTTTTGATGCTAATCTTGTTGACTTTGTGACGCCAATTACTTGCAGGACTCCATAAAAGAAAACAATATACCTCTTAAAGGTCTTATCATTCCTGTCAAAAACTCAACCTTTCACGAAGAAGTCATTGCTCAGCGAGAATCAAAAAAACCTTGACGATACAAAAATGACATGTTAGGTTTAAGGATATAGGGCGAAATTGCGGAGATCATGACTTATTTGTATAGAGGGTATTTCTTCAACATTTTGACGAAGAGTGACAACAGATTCTCGATATTCGATTTTGTACTGCTGTATTAAAAAAATGACCATGCTTACCAAGACAATCTTCATGTTTAGAAAAAAATTCCGATGAGATATCACGGTTTCTTGTGGCAGGATCAGTAGGAAATTCGTTCACGAATGAAGCTCAGAGCGACGACTGATGCCTGGCACGGCCATTGTCGTCAGCTTTATACCCATTGTCGACGTGCAACCAGGTGAAAGGAAACTTCCTTTCTCAGGAGAAGAAGAAAAACCTCCTTTTCCGACCAGTATCATCAATTTAACGGGGACTATACAAGACCAACATTTCATTTTTTTTATACCTCACCGCGCATGATCATCTCTGGAGAGTCGAATAAGAAAGGATCATTTCGTCAGTCGCATTCATGTACTGTACTGTAATTTCGACACACAAAATCGAATTACTCCTTTATTGCTACTTCTTCATTGATGATTTGTATCTCGAGAACTAGAGCATACGCCTTAGTTGAGGATCACGGATAATTATGGCATTAACTTTTGAAAAATTAGCGGTGAATGCATACAAAATAATTCGAGAGTCCCATGACATTGCCGCAAAGCTTCAGCATCATTAGCGAGGGTAATTTCAAACCATCCTACGGGGATAAATGTTCCCAAGTTCAAATTAAAATCGGATTTCGCATACCATATGTTTCTTTCCCGTCAATTAAATTAAAATCTGGTAAAGTTCAATTGGATTCCCGAATCATGGAAGCTCGTTCCATTAAACATCCATCAATTTTGTCTTTAGCGTTATTGAATGAAGTTTATTATCTAATAAATGACAATCAGTTACAGTGACTTCCTGAAATAGGCAATGCTTCAAAACCAGACGTTAATTAGTACTGGGTACTTATTTAAAAATGAGTAAGATATCAGGTAAAAAAAAAAAAGATATACAGTTCAGCCCCGCGTCGCGAAAGTTTGACGAATTTCTTCAGAGTTATTTTTTTTTGTGGACTAGAAAAACATACCTGCTCTCGTTTGTTCCAAAAAGTTGAGTATAAACGTGGGCAACTATTTCGAGCTCATCGAAGCCAGCAGGGGTTTTTCCCTGTCGTGGCTTCATCATTGCAGCAGGTCTTCACAACGGGTTGACCGGGCAAGAATCTTGACAGAAGCGTCTGTGGAACTCCACCATCGATGGTAATAAATGTAACGACCCCAACAGGCAGCAGGGAAACCCAGAGGCTTTATTTTTTTTAATGAAGTAGGAAAAATATAGTGCTTTGAACTCTGGCCGAGTGACCGGGAAAAGCCCCAATTAATTGCACCCCCACCTCTTAAAACCCACGAAAGTGAGCGGCAATTAATAAAGTAAAACTCGTATGGCTTAACCTGAAAGCACCAATATGTTCGAGTTTGTCTGACCCACAAGAAAACACAATTTTGAACATTTCCTTTGTTACCTTCTACATACATTTCTATAAAAATTGAATTTATTTAACCATCAGCCAAGACAAGTAGAACATTTATTCGTTAATCTTAATTTAGGAAATAAGAAATTTAACTTACATCAGATTCGGAGAATAATGTTCGAATTTTCTCCGCCGTCTTTTTTGTTCAATCTTAGGCTTCAATAAATGAATAAGTGAAAAAATACGAAAATTAAAAACATATGCAGTTTAACAATTTCATGCTACGCGTCAAAAGTCTGTTGAATATATAGGCGGGAAAAATTCTTGTGAATTAGATTTGCTGAAATCCAAGATCATTTCATAGTATCCTAATATTTTTCAGTATAAGCACGTTCATATTGCGTCGTAGCCAAAATTGTTGCATTGAAGGAACGCCCTATATAATATATCGAGGTTTCAAATTTCTCAAGTCATCCCGAGAAAAATCCTGTTTCAGTCGACTTGAGTGAAGGGTTAAATGGAAATGATACTGTATAACTGTTTATAAGCTTGTGAATTTCTGGTTGACAAAACATTTTAAACAAATACCCAAAAGTGATTGATTTTTTGACAAACTGTGTCAGATGACAGGATCCCGATGCACGAGAAAATGCATTGGAATTCCAACTATAAAAGGAACAGTAAGGTTGATTACGGTTATACAGTTGGTTCTTCGAAACGTTTGTTCATTCGATCTTGACTGAGAAGAAGTCGCTGATTTTTTCTGCACATTTTCACAAGTTCAGTGATTATTATAAGCAGGCCGGAAACACGAGAATCTTCTACGTGAGTCAACTGTCAATTTTGTTTCGTACGAAATTAAGATTCGTCGACTGAAAATAATGTATAAAGAACAGCTAATCTCGCAAGCAAATTTACAGAATCCTCAACTGCGCTTAAGAACTCAATCCATAGAAGAAAAAATTCTCCTATGCCTTCAAATTACAAGTCGAAATGGGTTAAAATTCTCCATCGTTACTCCCATCATCTTACCAAATCCGAAATATGATGTGTACTCAATTTAAATTTAAAAATAATTTAATGCTTATCAAATACTAACAGTTTTCGGAAATTTTATGCGACAAAGATTAGTTCCTATTCTGCATGTGTACAATTTTGAATATACTGGGTAGTATAAACTCTATCTTTCAGCAGAATATGATTTAATCATTTAATTTTTTCAGCTTCCCAGTCTAAGGTTTTTTCCTTTGAAAACAGCAATTTGTCTTCTGTAATACAGTTTGCTCTCGGAAGTTTGGAAATACTGTACAATTTTGATAATTTTACTGAAAAATACATGCTCTAATTTGGTTTGTTCTACAATAAATTGCTTTGATTCTTAAAACAGCAATGAATAAATTATTAGCTGTGATCATTCCAATATATATATATATATATAGTGGAGTTTGTCATGGGTCCATTGGATCCCAGACAAAGGAATTTAATTGTACAGCCATCAGAATGCAAGTTTTGAATAAGAACTCAAGCTCTTTCCAGAGGACATTCTCATTGCCCAGTTCATCAATGGGCTGTTAATTGAATGGTTATAATGGCAGAGTCAATTGTAAGATTGGTTGGTTATATTAGCTCAGAATATTGAATGTGGTAATTAAAGTTAAAAGGCCCTTTAACACTAGGTTCTGACTTCTCCTCTCAAAGAGGAATGAAGGCATTTATACCCAGGAGTTTGGACTGGACTGGAGGTGGGGTCAAGTTGCAACCTGATTGTCCATATGTTCCATCACTAGGTTCATGCTGTGCTCCATGCTGTTGCTGTGAATTAGCTCCAGATAGGAAGAAATCAGGTGATTTCTTCCTGGCTCAGGATTGGCTGATCTTTGTAAAGTCAAACAAGGGATAACCACTTCTTGTCCTCAGTGAGTCCTGCAAAAATGGGATTTTTGAAAGGCTCACTGGCCTCAGAAGTTCAACACATTTTTGGGGCCAGTTTTGGCCAGATGCTGGAGCTGCGTAGCTTTGGTACGCAACAGAGTTCCTCAATGGCTGAGTAATCATTTGAAATGCAGAATGGCTTCTAAAATTTTCCTGAAAGTGCTTGTGTACCCAGTTTTCAAGTATTGAATGGCACAAAAACACATATGGGCAAATAAATGCAATACAAATTCCGGAAGAGCTCCTACAGTATTTAAATTTCAAGCTTCAATAAGCAGCGTTTTCCGATTGCAACTTCAAGTTTTCTTGAAGAAATTTATTCACTTGTCATGCAATTTATTATGTGAGACAAGATCCACTCTTAACCCTTGGGCAGCAAAGTCGGACTATTTTCGTGAAATTTTGTTGCACCTCAGGGCAGAAAATAAAAAAGGACAACAACGATTTGAGGACAAAGTCAGGGAAAAATCCAATGTTTTTTTCTTTTTGTACAGAAAAATTTTGTGGGAAAATGAAAAAAATTCTATGCTAAGCAATGGGCTTTTCTCAGATTAATCCAGACTTTGCCTCAGCCCACCTGGAAGGTCTTTTCTGACCTTCAGAAAACTTAAAAGGCCCCAGCATACAAAAATAATCCGATTTTGGTTGGCAATAGGAAAGAACCCTTTGCCATCCAAGGGTTAAAAGCAAACATTATGAACATACAAGTAGATGAAATCATCTGATAGTCTGTTGAAACTTGTTTGAATTGTGTCTAAAAGCTTCTATGACAGGTTTTTTTCCCAGAAAATAACAATAACCAACTGGGCACCATCAAAATTCTGAGTTTACTTTTTCAAGGGTATTGTGCAACAGATTGAAAGAATCAGCTGATCAGTGTTCACGTTGATTGTTTCCCCTGCTTTCTATAGGTTGTGACATTAGTCCTAGCCATTTTAACTTGCCTGATGGCAGGTTTATCTGGAGCTAATTCCCAGCAACAGCATGGAGCACAGCATGAACCTAGTGATGGAACGTACGGACGATCATGTCGCAACTTGACCCCACCTCCAGTCCGCACCCCTTTATCATGAGAAACGGATATGATTCAAACACTGGATTTCTCGATAGGTCCATACGGATGTTCAACTCAAGTCAAATCCATTGCGGCTAACTAAATATTTTCGCTAGTCGAAATCAGTGTTCTATCGGCGAATTTCAGATTTGTTCATCAAATTGGTGCATATTTCTGATTTTTGACTTTGTCTGAAACTAAAATAAACGCTATTTCTCGGGATGACTATATTGATTGATAAACGAACTCTATTTTCCACTTTTACGCGTTCACAAGGTTCAGACAATTTTCCCACATGCAAATCCCGTCCCCTCCTCACCCACATTCCATGACATCAGAATGAAAATAGAGAAATATAAGGTGTTTGTGGTATTAAAGAAAAGTAAAATACATCACAAAATGTAAAGATACACAACTTATGTAAGTATGCATACAATTTGTTCCCCTCACAGCTACACCATGAAAAGAAAATATCATTAATGACAATTACATCATAATGCTGTTGACAAATGACTATATTCCATGGATCACCTCACAATGAGCTTGCAGATAGCAGCATCAGGCTGCTGAAATGTAAAAGGAGGAATTCACGTTGAGATGGTCAATATCTTAAGACTTCATTTTATTCGAGAATAGGCTTCCAAAATACTTTTGGCTCGTTTTTCGTCTTCCGTGTATATTTTTTTTAAATCGTCATCCTCCAAATTTTGTTGCTAAAGGAAAGCCTTGCTCTAGAATGTCAACATTTTATTTGTTATCTGTAATCCCTAGTATAAAATTAATACAAGCTAACTTAGTGCTGGAAATGTCGTCAGAGAAAAAAATTTCAGAACATCTGTTTTAATGAATTAATTCTCTGATTTTGTCCGATTTTACAAGTGCGTTGAGTATTTGAAAGAAAGGTCGAAAAGCTGAACTGCGCTTAGAAATTAGACATCAACTGAAGTTCTGGCCCTCATTTAACATTTAATCTCCT